CTAAAGGCTGCCCCCCTCCCACCCCTCACTTCCCTAATCTATAGGCTGCCCCCTCCCATCCCTCACTTCCCTAATCTATAAACTGCCCCCCTCCCCATCCCTCACTTCCTAATCTATAAAACTGCCCCCCTCCCATCCCTCACTTCCCTAATCTATAAACTGCCCCCCTCCCCAAGCCCCTCACTTCCCTAATCTATAAGCTGCCCCCTACCCATCCCTCCTTCCCCTAATCTATAGGTACTTACCCCCTCCCATCCCTCAGCTACAATCTATAGGGCTGCCCCCCTCTACATCCCTCACTTCCCTAATCTATAGACTGCCCCTCCCATCCCTCACTTCCCTAATCTATAAACTTCCCCCCTCCCCATCCCTCACTTCCCTAATCTATAGGCTGCACCCCACCCCATCCCTCACTTCCCTAATATATAGGCTGCCCCCCTCCCATCACTCACTTCCCTAATCTCTAGGCTCTCTCTCCCCCCAAGCCTCACTTCCCTAATCTCTAGGCTCTCTCTCCCCCTCAAGCCTCACTTCCCTAATCTATAGGCTCTCTCTCCCCCCAAGCCTAACTTCCCTAATCTATAGGCTCTCTCTCCCCCCAGCCTCACTTCCCTAAACTATAGGCTCTCTCTCCCCCCAGCCTCACTTCCCTAATCTATAGGACTCTCTCCCCCCAGCCTCACTTCCCTAATCTATAGGCTCTCTCCCCCCAGCCTCACTTCCCTAATCTATAGGCTCTCTCCCCCCAGCCTCACTTCGCTAATCTATAGGCCCTCTCTCCCCCATCCCTCACTTCCCTAATCTATAAACTGCCCCCCTCCCATCCCTCACTTCCCTAATCTATAGGCTGCCCCCCCTCCCATCCCTCACTTCCCTAATCTATAGGCTCCCCCCTCCCATCCCTCACTTCCCTAATCTATAGGCTGCCCTCTCCCATCTCTCACTTCCCTAATCTATAGGCTGCCCCCTCCCATCTCTCACTTCCCTAATCTATAGGCTGCCCCCTCCCATCTCTCACTTCCCTAATCTATAGGCTGCCCCCTCCCCATCCCTCACTTCCCTAATCTATAGGGTGCCCCCCACCCCATCCCTCACTTCCCTAATCTATAGGCTCTCTCTCCTTCCCCCATCCCTCACTTACCTGATCTGTAGGCTGTCTCTGGCTGCATGTGCTGCTCCCCTGCGGTTTCAGTCAGCAGAGAGAAGCAGGGATAAGATGTAGCTTCCTATCCCTGTCTCTTTCCATACACAGCAGGTATTGCAGTGCATTTTCCATCTCACACAAAAAATAGGATGAAAAATCCAAGGGGGGGAGGGGGCAAGCGCCCATGGCTATAGCCCTATCTAATTATATGGAAGACAAAGGTCTGGTACAAAAAGGTTGCAATTTACTTAATGCAGATTGCAACCCACAACTCTTTTCTTGTTGTTCAAAAAAGCAAACGCCGAAATGAAACTGACTTTTTTACAGTTTCAGATCATTTAGTGCATTTTGTACCAAGATGCACCTGCTCCCCGGGTGGTGATAAGAGAGAGCAGAGTTGAGGCTACCAACTTTATTTTTATAATCCCCCCTGCTGCGGCAAAGCAAAAGATGCAGAGTCTGTTTCAAGAGGGGGCAGAGAAAGAACATCATCTTTTACTGTCTTGATTGCCATGGACAGTCTGGACTCTGCATTGGGGACTGCTTCAAGCGATATCACACACTGGTCCATTTTTTCATTTTATTTTTTACACTTGCTGTTCAGTTTTTTGGTGACATTTACTGTTCATGAGTTTGTTTGTTTTTTACTTTTACTGCGCCAGACTATTTTCATGATCAAGTTCAACCTATGCATGGGGGCATGAGTGTACTCAGGAGGTCTTGCAGAAAACAACCTTGAGTGTTTTCTTGCCATAACCAACAACAGGCTCCCGTAAATCACCCACAAATGTGTGTGTAAAAATGAAAATTTAAACATTACCACCACATATTTTCTCCAACTTTTTGGGCTAAAACGGTTGCATCAAAGGCATCAAAACACTCCATATACAATATCTTGGGGTGTCAAATTTTCAAATATATACACGTTCATGGCAAGAAATGAAATTGGGATACGTAAAAAGGCCCACAAAAAAGAAAATAGGCAAGGAAGATATGTCAAATTTGAGAACACGTCAGATGTTTGGCATTGCACCCCCTAAACAACCCAACAAACCTATGCATATGTGGAATCACTGTACTCAGTAGATGTTGCGGAACACATATTGGGGTGTTCTTTGGCAGTAACACATAACAGAAGCCGATAATCTATGCCTAAAGTACAATGTGTGTGAGAAATATAACACAAAAAATGACTACCCGAAAGTTTGACAAAGACTGGTGGTAGAATTAGTGCATGGAAAGTGTTAAAATACCACCATTTGAAATACCCTAGGGTGTCTTTTTTTTTTTTAAAGAAAAAATACATGGTTTGATGGCGGTAAATTACATTAGCCGGCTTTAAAAATGTCCCAAATAGGACATGGGTGCATGATGACCAAAGGTAAAAATTCCATGTTGGAAAACTGGAATGTGCACCCTCCAAATAAGGTCTTTTAGCCCTCAGAGAATTCGACACACCTATACATGGGTGGTATCACTGTACTCATGAGATGTTGCTGAACACATATTAGGGTGTTCTTTGGCAGTAATCCTTAAAGTTCTCACAAAAAATCTCCAAGTAATTTTTTTTTTTAATTTGGCATAGATTGGTGGTAAAATGGTTTCATGAAAAGAGTCAAAATACCCAAAGTTTAATACCTCAGGGTGTCTTCATTTCAAAAATATATACATATATATTCCAATGGTTTGGAAATAGAAAAGTGCAACTTGTACTTATAACCCTATAACTTTCCAAAAAAAGCTTATAACATGTTAACATTGGGCATTTCTAAACTCAGAACAAAATTTAGAAACTATTTAGCATGGGTGTTTTTTTGGTGGTTCTAGAGGTGTAACAGATTTTGGAGGTCAAAGTTAGAAAAAGTGTGTTTTTTTAAATTCTTTCATCATATTTTATAATTTTGTTATAGTAAATGATATGATGAAAATAATGGTATCTTTAGAAAGACCATTTAATGGTGAGAAAAACCGTATATAATATGTGTGGGTACAGTAAATGAGTAGGAGGAAAATTACAGCTAAACACAAACACCACAGATGTGAAAACAGCCTTGGTCCTTAACGGTAAGAAAATTGAAAAACGGTCTGGTCACCAAGGGGTTAATAAAGGGATCTCACAGGTGGCATCTTTGTGTTAAAAATCTGGAATTAAATCATTCCCTGATTTACAAAATGAATTCTCTTTACTGAATGGGGAGGTGCTTACCTATCTTCGACTAAAAAACATTTCATACAAAGCAAATTAAATACCACGCACCTTCCTAGCTGAACTTTTTCAGTAGCACATGCATGGGCTTACATTGAAACCTTAAACCTCTCTCATTATTTTACAGCTCTCAGATAAACCTGGTGAAGCGCATAAACTTCCATACATGTTACACAGGGAAGCGAAGTTGGGAAAAATATTTCCCCTATCAGAGTGGCAACTAGCTATACAGTAGACTAAAGCCTCCTCCAGCAGCTTATCCCACTGGGAAGCTTACTGCAAAGCCCTCATGAGGTGGTATCTGGTACCTACCAAATTAGCTCTTATGTATCCAACTACAGCTAACGACTTTTGGCGGTGTAAAAAAAAACAAAAAAAAACGGGATACACTTTGTCACATCTTTTGGGAGTGCTCAGTTTTAAAGCCCTTTTGGAGTTCAATCAAGGGATTCTTAACCACAACTTAATTTTACAATGCCTCCTCAGCCAGAATGCTTCTTATTACATCTAATCCCCAACATTAAGGCTGTTGAACAAAAAGAAGTGGTGATACACAGTTGCCAAGATTGCTATTGCCACAAACTGGATATCCACCCATGCACCCACCATACAGGGGGTCACTGACAGACTAGACAGGATGAGTCAGTTTGAAGAAATGGCATATAGACTAAAAGGAAAAGAAACAAGCTACAAAGCGGTTTGGCAGAGCTGGATTAGAATTAGAAACTCATGTGTGATATACAAAATTTGCCACTCTGGGCCAAGCTACTCTTACACTTGGTACCGCTGGGAAGCACCATATTTGAATGATTGGCCCCAAGCACTCCAGGTTATGGGTCTATTGGCTAAACCAGTTCTAAAAAATTGTTTTAGTTACTTTACTTCTGCTCCTCACTATACTCCTTGTAATGTCCCCGGTTCCATGTAATTTGTGATATTTCAAGGTTGCAACTATTTTCTATTTACTACATTAACCCCTTAAGGACACATGACATGTGTGACGTCATGATTCCCTTTTATTCCAGAAGTTTGGTCCTTAAGGGGTTAAACTAGGAAGTACAATTAGTCACGGCCACAAGTAACATAACACACAATGGTGGTACAAGACATCTCCTCTTCTCTGGATGTTCTTTTTTCTCTTTTCCCTTAAAATATACATAGGTCTGTAAAAACTGGTCAAACCAAAAGATGGGTAGAGACGATGTAAAATATAAAATTGCCAGTGTTATATGCATTTGAGTGCAATGTCTCACAAAAACACAGATGTGATTTCCCATCTTGACCATATACCAACAGCTGACTGTGCCATAAACATGTAAACCCTGCTATTATCATTTTGTACGTGACAACTGCGACCTTATACGTTATGCTTTGAGATATATGTGACTTGTATTTGATTTGAAATTATATCATTAAAATTAGACGTGGAAAAAAAAATACATTGCATACAAGGTTGCTATCTCCTGCTAAACCCAGTCACAGGGTGATGTATGCATGCTTAGATCAAGCCTTTTGTTATAAGCAAGGTATGGTTGCGTGTGTTTCTGTGCTTTACCAGTAAGTGGCTGTTCTGTGAATGGTCAATATCTTTGAAAGCAGCCATCAGCCAGTAAAAAACAGTAACAAGGCTGAAAAGCCATCAATAATTCGTGCTACAAACTACCAGCTGCTGTTAATAGTGACAGTTTATGCTAGCTATGTACTGTTAACATTGAAATCTTGTCATCAGAAAGACCCAATTTAAATGTTAAAGCATTTATTTCTAATGGGCTCTATCATCTTTTATATACAGTATTAATTTCAGAAAGTAATAAGAATTTTTACAAAGCATGCACACGTAGAGAGGTCAGTTTAGATTTGCACAAAAACTTAGATTAAGCCTATAAAACTTGAAATTTAGATGGGATTATCTGAAAAATATTAGATTAACTCTACACTTGTCCTAAATAACACCCTATTTAACTCCAGAATGTCCCCAATAGAACTTGTGCATTTGGTTTGGCTCTTTAACATTGCTTAGTAGCATTACCCGGGATGATTGGAAAGCTCCAAAGCTATTGTTGCCTATATGTAACATAGCGCTCTATATACCATTTAAAGGGACACTAGTTACCAGAACAACTAAAGCTTAATGTAGTTGTTCTGGTGTCTATAGAATGTCCCTGTAGGCATTCGTATGAGAAAAGACAGCGTTTACATTGCTGCCAAGGAACACCTCCAGTGTCAGTCACATGGATGGCCACTAGAGGTGCTTCCTGGGTCACCTTCAGCGTCTCTACGCTCTGCTTGGAGACGCTGAACTTTCCTCATAGAGATGTATTGATTCAATGCATCTCTATAAAGAGATGCTGATTGGCCTAGATGGCGTTTGTCTCTGCTTCCACCCTGCCTCCTTGGGAAAGCATTGGATCGACTGAGATCATCAATTCTGATGATCTCAGCTAAGGAGGCGGATCTGGGGCAGGCCTACGTGGCGCTGGAATATAGGTGTGTAAAATACTTATTTAGGGGAGTAAGGGGAGCATGAGGACCAAAATAATGTTTTTAAACACTATCAGGTCCAGATACACATCTGCTCTTTTTTATAATTACAGTTTGATTCGAAAAAAAGATTGTGGTTGCAGGAATAAAATATCAGGATTCATAAAAAAAATAAAAATTGAAAAAAATATTTTCAGATATACACTGCGCATCAGGAGGTGATATGCACTATGTGTTAGCGCCTGATCTCTTTCTGTCTACCTGATTCGTGTCCTAAGATCTTTCCCGTTTCCTTTTTTCTGACATGTGGCTTCAATCAGATTGACCATAAGAGTCACAGAACTCTACTAAGAGCAGGCCGGCCCTTTATGTCTTGCATGCTCATGTGTAGATTTGGAATCCAGACCCGATTCCTATTGGGCTGTGCACCCCACCTACGCACTATGGATGCCCATTTGGAAGTGACCACATTAAAGCATAAATTAAGGAGTCTCTGGAAGCTGTTGAAGCAGTATTACAAGTTAGCATGTAAGTCTCCCATGTTAAAATGAGTGCAGGACCCACCGCTATTGGTGTGCTGTGACGTAGAGGTAGGCTTAACATTGTATGGCCATATGGGGTAACTAAATCCCCATATTTGTTTGCAAGTATAGGTGATTTTAAGTAGCATGTAAAATTGAAAAAAAGTGTTTGGTTTTGAGTGTGCGCTGCTCCTTTATCTATATTTTGTATTCTCATAAACACCAGGAACCTCTGGGTTGTTCTTATTTTATAGTTTAGTACGCATTAAAGTTGACCAAGCCCCTGACTGAAACCTTATTTTTCCACAATTGCTTGAAGTTTCAAACTAAAACAGAAAACAAAGGACACTTACAATGATATCCACCAAGAAAAAAGTGATCTAATATGTATCGTCATCTTAGAAAATTGTTTTTGCAATATGCCACCGCAGGTCTCCCAATGATCTTCACACCAGGGAACTGTCCCCAACAAGCACAGAACAAGCACATCATTAGATGTGCTATGCTCATGGCATTAGGAACCTGCAGACAGCACTGAAACAGTACTCCATGCATGATACACTCTTTGTAGCCCCCCCTCTCCACCTGATTGGCAGGCTGACCTGTCAATTCTAAGGGTTGGCCAACCGTATACAGGCTGACCCCTTTGGGAGAAGTGATGCAAATCGCATAACTAACCTTGCCTCCTTTTATTCCTCTTGTCAATGTCCTGCTTCACAGGACACCGAAGTTGGGAAATATGCCAAAACCATATACAAAAGTGAAAATTACCATATATGTGCATACGATGTGTGCATTGATGAAAAGCAATGTTAACCACCAACTGTGCAATGGTGTTTACAAATTATTGTGAAGTAGTGCACAAATGTTATCAACCAACTATCATTAAGTACTCTGTTAAATTTTAAAGAATGTCAAATTATCACTCAGTCTGACATTTTCAGTTGTCTATATATAATCTATTAGCTTTAATGGGGCATACTTTTTAATTTTATTTTAATCTTACCGGATTATATATTTTCCTTGTAGAAACTTTGTTTAATGTCTGCTGAAGTTAGACACTTCTAGTCGTATTATTGAAAAATGGCTAAAAAGACTCCTGATGCTATACCTATAATACGGGCTACAATTTTCATTACATGACACATGTTTAATAGTAGGAAGGCAACAAGTCGGCAAACATATTTTTTTCAATCTCTGTATGACTATATTTTCAAGTAATAATAATGTTACATATAATTATATACGGACTTAAGGATTTGTACCATTTTTAAAAAAGCAAAACATTTTTTTATATAATTATCTTTAGATAACAATGTGTGATCATGACTGATGATTTGTTCCATTTTAGTCACTTTGCAGATATTTATATAAAAGTTTCCAATGATGGTTTTAATTAAAGTGGATCATTATAAATATTTAAAAACATAATAAAACTTACCTGACAGTATTCTTGGAAATGACTAACATTGATTAGCGAAATACAGGAATCAGAACATCTTAATTTTGAATGATGACATCCATAATAATAATAAAAAATAATCAACATTTATGAGCTCTGCTAATGTTCTAGTTGAGCTACTGTAATTTAACAGTTTAGGTACTGAAGGGGAGAACTGCTGGGCCTTGAGGCCCTACATATAATTTAAGAAAAAACAAAAAATCATCTTGAGACACTTGGAAACGCAATATTATAATTAATTTCCGTTTTGTCACAAACATAAAATTAATGTATACTCATAGTTGGTAAATAGGGAGTACACGGAGCTTGACATTGTTACTTATGCCCTTATACCTTATTTGTTCCACATTCTGCTAACATAGGGTTAAAAGAAAACAAAAAACAGCATTTTTAAAAAAAATACTAGCTAGTATTGGTAGTCCACCATATAAATATACGTTTTGAAAATGTTGCAGTTTCCTTATATCACCCTCTTAATTCTCTTAGATGATTCACAAGGTTGCTTCACTTTTCCACCGTGTTCCACATTCCGCAACTCTCTATATTCACATAAGTAGCATATACACTTAGGGCAGGCTTGTTTGATGGAAATCTTATTTAATTAAAAAAAAATAAAAATCTAGGGGAGTAGGGAAGAGCAGTGCTGTTTTAGTCAATAATCTGTTGTGAAATAAATGGAAACTGATGGGTTCAAGAAATAGTGGCTATAGTGGCTATTTCCCCAAGCCTAAACCTTTGTGTCTATGTTGGGGAAATGGAAATGGAAATATCTTATCGGCAGTCATAACTTGAATCTGCATAGCGCCGTTTTAAAAAACGATTTTAACATATTAAAAATACACTTTATGTTATGATGTGTCTATTGAAACAACATACACTGGTGAAATTAGTTAAATGTTGAAAAAAAAGTATATAGATAAATAAAAATCAAGTGTTTAACATTAATGTTGGGGACAGCTTAATAGTTGCATCATTTTGTAAAAGCAGTCTTTAAAGCGAATCTTTTACATTCTGGTGACTTTGCATAATTTGCAAAGACCCCCTGTGACAACACTGCTGGGGGCAAACAAAGGTGTATTTTACTTACATGAACATGTCCCTCCTGGCCTTCTGCCTACCCCTCTTCTGCTCCAGTAGCTTCAGCTGCCAGGAACATATACGTCAATGCTCTACTCTAGCACATGCTCAAGAGCAAAGCATTTAAGTCTATGGAGGATCCTGCGGGATCCTTCATAGAAAAAGCTAATATCCAATAAGCCATCACTGGTGACGGCTAAGGGAAATAACATGCTTTACGGAGACAAAATAGTCACTATGAAAAATACTGAGATAAAGTAGTCCCTGTGAATATTACAGTCAATATTGTAATTTATGAAATACTCATTTTGGAAGGTGGCAGGGGTGACAGTGCCACTTTAGAGTTCTTTGATATATACCCAGGACATACTTGAAAACAAGAGAAATCTCAATGTATCCTTCCTGGTAAAATATTTAATAAATAAATTAAAAATAATTTGACAAAGGTGCTATTTTTTCATTATATGTAAACATGACTTCAAGTATTCTGTAATCTCAAGTTTGCTGAAAAATTACATTTAATTCTCATCTGATTTTACATGGTGGGACATGGTGCATTGAAAAAGGGTTGTACCCGAAACGTCTGTTTATTATTCTGTCCTCCAATAAATTTTGGTAGCACTTTGTTTGTGCACATAGCAACATTTTGCGCAGCCTCTATTTGTTTGATTTGTCATCGGATTTTAGGCATACCACTTGATGGAGTCTTTCGTAGCACATCTATCTTTCAACAGCTTCCAAGAGACATACAAAAAATACTGCTCGGATTTGAAATGACAGCATGCTAGGATTTCTGGCCTTTTGTATGTGAGTCAGTTAGTTTGTTTAATGACTTAAAGAATAAATAAAGCAACATATTGCAACTAATTTAAAGTACACGAACAGCTCCTTGACATTTTGTGTTATAAATATCTGGACAAAAGGTGAAATCTGCACACAAAGCCGAAATCTGACACTTGCTAATGGCACACAGAAAAACAAAAAACAAATAACCCGATGTGTGCAATGTTTACATCTATTTTTACAATACCACAATTTTAATATATTATACTAAAAAAAAAAAAAAAAAAGATAAACAATAATGCATAGCTGATTTTCCCAGACAAAAATAAATGTTTATATCACAATTTGTAGAATACAGAGTGATAGCATAGCGGTTTGGTATTGTATTTTGTGAACTGTAAACAATAACGTAGAACATATTACAGTAAAGGCAAAGTTGTGCGTTTTCTCAAATATATCCCTCAATTTTTGAGTCTCAACTGAAGACTAATACCTCTTTTACAAGAGCAACAATGGCTAATCTAGCACTCCTGATTTTTCTGAAAATCATTTACGGTGATGCTCAGCCAGCCATAATGTTAACCCTCACTGGTATATAGTGCTTGTTGACTGAGAATGCCAACTCTGTTGTTCATTAGGGCACCAAAGTGAACTGTGTGAGGATTGCACTTTAATTTAAAGTTGGCTGTATGTGCATGCCAGTGTAATTGAACATGTAGAAAGTAAAACAAAGATTGCTTTAGCTGCCAGTCTGGAACACGGCTTAAATGTCATTTTATATCCTACATTTTCAATAACCAAGCAGTTTTAAACACTGTCATTCGGCAGAAACAGAAATGGTTTTATTGCAGGTTTAACCTGGCTCAAGAGGCTGTAATACTGATGGACACTAGAGGTGGCTACTCCAAAATTCTCTCCAAGAATGTTCTGGGTAACCAGAAGTATAGAGCTACAGGCTTCACAGTGAAGGGTAAAAGCAAAATATGCTTTTATCATAGTCAAAAGGACAAAACAAAGATATGTGAGGCCTTAATTATGTATTAATCATGTAAAGGGCTCATGCCCAAAACATTGTATCATTGTTTTGACCGTTTAACTATAATAAAAGCACTATTGAGCTTACACCTTGCACTGTGAAGACTGTGGCTCTAAACTTTTGGATATAAACTGGGGGCTAACTCCTCTTGAGTGCAGCATCCCACTACCTGGTTGAATGTTCTGGGTAATAGATTATATAATGTTAAAACCAACTAAGTAGATATATATCCAGAGTTACACCCACAAAGTGATTTTTTTTTTTTTACGTTTGAATAAAAAATATGGATTTCATTAAATTGCATTTGCACAGATCACATTAATTACTACAATTTTAGAATGGTTAAGATGAAAATCAAAGGGAAAGTGTTGCTGCAATAATTGTAAGCAATTCATTGCATTCAACGGTTATAAATAAATAATATAATATAAATAATATATATCAAAAAACAAACAAACAAAAAACAGGGGATGCCATATTGCTGTAGGCTCAAAAACATTAGATTTGAAAGGACAGCAAACTAAATAGCAGGTATCCTGAATGTGACCACCATTCATGTCATTCTTAATTAAAAACAAAATGACAAACAAGAGGCGCTTAATCATTTCCAGGCCAAACACATTCTACGGTTTATTACACATTACATTCTTAAATAAAAATGCGTCACATAACATTTTTGCATAGATATCTTACAATATACCAATTTAAAAAAGAATTATGAAACAGACCAGTAACAAAAATAAATTTTTTTTCTTCATTAATAATTTTGTAACATTAACATACCACCATCATATAATACAAATAATATTTTATTTAAATTGTAAGACTTTTTTTTACAGCAAAAAAATGACAAAGTAATATATTTATATATATATAAAAAAACCTAAAAAAAATTAAAAAAACATAAAAAAATAAAAAGTAAATAATAAAAATAAAAGGTATAACGGAGAGCTACAAAGTGGGTATTTCTGGATTATAGGAGAAATACCATAAAAGGCCTGAGAGAATATAATAGAGGGTCTCTCCATAAGCACTTGTTCGACACGCCTGGCCAAAGAAATTAAAATTCTAAAAATTATAGTGCAAAATTAAATTCCTTCAAGCAATGTGTTGTTTTTTATGTTTTTTTTTAAAAAAAAACTTTTAATTTATTTTTTTATTTTCAAGCTTGAGAAAATTCAGAATTTTCACATAAAATAATGTTTATTATTTAATGAGTTTATTCTTCTAAATGTGCAATCCAAATTAGGAATAAATATTGGCAATATAAAAAGATATCTGTGAAAATATTTCTGAAATGTTAGCAAGTTTTGGGCCACACTAGTTGGGCAAGCAACTTGGAGAAAAGAAAACTGATTGTGTGTGTGCCAATATCACACCAATCATTTTTTTTTTATTAGACATACATTTTCAGTAATAAACTTTGTATGCCATTGGTTCCTTGATCAACAATTTTAGCTGCCAAGTGGATTCATAAGGAATGAGAGCTCAGGGCAAAACAAATATACCATGCTGAGTGTGCGTGATCAGTGAAGCAATATTGGTCCTGGAGAAGTACCTAATTGCTGTTTATGATACCTTAAGGCCAACTTTCCTTCCCAAAAACAGCTGCCTTTGAATTAACTTGCATATGCACTAAAACATCTGTGGTAGTTAAACCTACTACTCGAACAGCTGTTTCAAATGAATTAATAGGTACGGAAAGACAACTATGTAAAGTGTGGCACAGTAAAAATGAATTCTAAATTCTGAATTCTAAAAAGATTACTTACGAGTAAATAAATAGCGGTCACATTATTCTATATATATGTATATGAATATTAATAATGTGACAGCTATATATATATATATATATATGTATCAAAGTTTATAGTGGTATAACCTGCAAGTAAAATTATAAAACAATTAAAGGCATATACTTAACTGGAAAAAATTTAATCAATTTATTTTAACAGTATAATGCTGTTAAGTATGCCTGTTAGATGATGCTTTTTATTTAAATACTAGTGTACGAGTGTACCAAGAGTTCTCGTTGTAGTGTTTTAGAATAAAGCAAGAATTGACTGTGAAAAGAATCCCACCCACACCATCCAAAAAGAAATTCTGTTAAAATAAGAATTAGCATAATTTATGATTAAGTATTAAAAATACAGACAAGTTCCAATTGATTATGCCTGTAAGGATAATTTAATCATTAATGTAAAATAACACATATGCTCAATAACAAAAGCTCTAAAGTATCATAAACAGCAACTAAACTGCATACAAAATGTTGATGGTTACTTGATTGCTCACAGAGAAGAATGTAGAGTAATAACAATCCAAGCATTTGTTTTACCAAACTATTTAAAAAAATTCTGAATGATCTCTGACTTTTATTTTTTTTTATATTTTTGCACACACAAAAATAGGCCTGAAAAAGAGTGTAAAAAGGAAACTGGATGAACCCTTCCAGTGCCAGATGGACAAGCAATACATTGTATTTCTGGCCCTTCTGGTATTGTAGGGGGTAAAGGAATACAAGTATTACTTCAGGCTTCTAAATTTTCTAAAAGTAGACAACTCCAGTCACTGGGTTGAAAATAAGGCAGCAGAAATACCCCCTACTCACTGAATATCTGCTTACCAAGAATAACCAACAGAAGAATTAAGCAACAATGCAATCACTCTTCTCATTCATTCAACGGAGGGAAGCAGAGGGTGTCAGTCTTCTCAACCTCTGTGTTCTCAATACAAGATTGAAAAAGTGCAACATTTATTGAATACTACACTAGGCGTGATCTTAAAGTGATCATTTTCAGGATTACACTTGGGATAGGGCAAAAAAGGGTTTCCTAAGACCCAGCAAGCAATGAGTGAAACCTTAACACATTGACAATCCTCCCCTTAAAGTTTGTAAAGAGAAAAACCTATGAAAATGTAGTGAAGCAGTTGACGGTCCAGTAACTACTTTTGATTGGTGGATTTAAACCGCTCCTTGGCTCTTCCTTGTTGGCCATTTTGTGAACAAAGGATTTTATTGGTAGGAAAAAAATAAAACAACCCCTCCACCCCATAAAACATGGTTAGGTTTCTAATGTTGCGGTTTTTTTTCTGTGTAATGAGTAGGCATCTGAATGAAAGAAACACAAACACATATTTCTAACATTAAGAACCAGTTGGTGTGACCAAACATGTTTAAGTCCATGGTGATAGATAGATGGTTTTGTTTGCTCTTGGGGATGGAAAAATTCAAATATGTTAATTTTATTTTATTTTTTTCAGGAAAAGAGAGTTTATATCCTATAATGAAGGGAGGTTATGGTGCAATCAACAGAAACCTTCTCCAATACCCTTTTGTGTATGTCATCTCATTAATAAAATTACAAAATGTAGATTTACTCACTATTTTCCTATTCACCAACTTGTGACTGAGCTCAGACTGTGAGCCACACACTTTGTGAGCCAAAACAAATGTGCGTGAATATGTGAACAGGTAATGAGTACTAGGATTAAAAGTTGGGAAAGAGTTCTGTACATTAAAATGAGGAACATAGCATATCCAGGCCTGCCACTGAACAAGTCAGAACTGCATGTTTATTTACCACCACAAGGGTCTTAAAGCAATTTTCCATACTTGGATGTCACTGTAGAAAGACTGGTAGAAATGTATTCTTTGGATTCATAGAATCTGTAACTTAATGTATACAACTGATGTTGAGCCAAACAATGCACCAGTCTATCAGTGGCACCCAGTCCAAGGCTTCCTCACTGAAGCCTTGGAACTTCACGGCAAGGAGAGGGCCAGAGCAAACGGGTGAAGTCTTAACAACTATGGGTTTAAACAGTTTGTATACTGCGTAACCTCTTAAAGTAAGATGGTGTTAACCATGTAGGAAACATTGCAGTGTCCTTAAAGACTTTAACCTCATGAAATTAAAAAAAATAATAATTCTTATTCCTCATTTGTTCTTTCATTGATTAATGCAAAGAACGGAAACTACAGACAAGCCGAAGTTCAAGAAATCTGTTCCACAGAGCATTCTTAAGTTTAGGCTAGCATAGTACTGTACACTAAATGGGGTGACTAAACAGATCATGGTGGTATGATACAAGTGGACTTTCAACGTATTCACATTAAAAAAAGACATATCTGAAAATATATAATAGGAAATTTACTACATTAAAATTGCAGTATATTAGGTTAAGTAATTTATGTTTTTATTAAAATAATACTGGGCTACTTTTTAGGGAAATACATGTAAGTCAGCAATGGTTTTGAAAGGAATGGACATCTCTAGGGTGCTTCCGTTGGGCAGAATAGAAGATCAAGAATAAAACATATTAGGATAAAGAATGTGTTTGATGTAACACACATTGTGTGGTCAAGATCTATAAAATACAATAAACATGGGATACTTAATGTCTAAAAAATATTACCGATGGCTCATTTCCATTTGATTTTGAAGTAGAATTCTGCCCAGAATACTACATCTGGCTCCTAAATATAGTGGTCTGGCTTATAAATGACAAAAGTGTGTGTGTGTATTTTATTTTTGGGTTTACTAAAGCAGGTTTCTCTTGAAAGGCTAAATAACAGTTACAGGAATTTAAACCCTCAACATTATTCAAAACACCTTATAGCAGTAGATTGCAGTGTGTATTTAGTAATATGTGTTTGCATCATTAATAAGGAGTGTACATGGTCAGTCAATACTGATCTGCATAATCAATATTTAAAATTTTAAAAATGCTCTAATGAACTAATAGAAAAGGTCAATAATCTATCATGGGAAATAACAAGTGTTTACTTATAAATGTGTATATCTACTTAATAGTAAGAGCATTTTTAGATGTGGTTGGAAACAAACTGTTGAGAGATAGATTACTTACAAAAAATGCAACAAAGCTATTTCCCTCCTAAAGATAAGCGCTGAGTTCATCCATTTTTGAAGTTAAAAATATCTACAAAGAAGGTGCCTCTTGAAGATATGCAAGTTAAACTAACATCTAGAATACTATACCTTCCAATAATCAATTTGTGTTTACATCACATGTACCTATGTCCCTTGGCTTTTCTTGATCCACTAAAAACCCATCAGATGGCCATTAAATAATAAATAAATAAAACAAAATTTATATTATATTTATATATATATATATATACACACACACACACACATATATATATATATATATAATGCAGAAGCAGAGGACTACAGGGATTGTCGACAAGCAATGCTTCAGGTATATTTAAGTTTTTTTTTTTTTTAATCTTTGGAATTTAAACATTTTCTTTTCTCCTTTACTGTCCAACATCTTTCGAAACACCTAAAAATCTTCTTAGGTTTTGGTCGATTATGTTACTTCCTGACCCTTACCACCAACAGCAACATGATAATGAGAATTAAAATATTTGGTAAATTAAAATAACCTAACATTAAGCAGGTTTTGTATCCTAGTGTTAAAGGAAAATTTAAAACCTTGATAGCTTCCAGAGTAGCTGGCAACTGAAAGTCTCTACGAGTCTCTCTGGTAACTACAAGCTTAAACCATATGTGCCAAGGCAACTCTTTTCAATTGTTGTCTATCCCCTCGGTCAATTTCTCAAATATGTCAGGTTTTTCTTTTTCTTTTTTTTTTGTATTTTATTATTTTGTCTTTTTTTAAAATCATTTTCAATATTTAATTTTTTAAATTTTTTTTTTAATTTTTTTTTTTGTGTTTAACAGTCAAGGAGTCAAAACAAGTTAAAAAGAGGCCAGCTGGCTGGGATAAATGAGCTCCGTTCATCTGGATAGTGGGACCAAATGAATGTGCAATTTTAATAGCTGCTTAGGAGTGGTCCCAGAATATACACAATATACAACCTGTTCCCCACTACACCTAATTGAATTGATCAAATTATGGTCAAATTAGCAGCCTTTGGAGCACAGTTTAATGAGAACCAATGGAACTTTTATGTACATGGATTAATTGTTGTTTGCAGTGAATTCTGGATTATTCATGGGAAAGCTCAGATATTCACATTATTCTTGGGAAAAGTCCTTTTATAACCATTGATCCTACCAAAATAGGGTCAAATAAGAACTTCTGTGTGTAATTTGTACGGTTTCTCTATGGCCAAAACTATTGAAAACACCAATGCACTGGATAATTTGAACCATTATGTTCACTCAGATGGGAACTCTTGGTGGCCCAATTATTGATGGCCTTGGTATACAAGGAAGAGTCTTTTTTTTTTTTTTACTACCATCAGTCATACAAATTCAACTTACTTTAAGATGTCCTTCAGTATTCATTGTTTTAGAGATTGATATATTTGGCTTTTTGTTGTTGCAGTTGTTGTTAAACACTCAAACAATATATTTAGTACAAAATGCAGCTGCTCTGGAAATAACATCAAGTTTCTAACTAGTTATATTGTTAGGACTAGAAGTCAATGATCAAGCACAAAGTTTGGAAAGTTTAGTGGGAGATTGCTTGAAGCCTGCCAGACAGAAGCAAATTCAAAATTGCTGGTCCAATCCAAGCTAAAGTGTCCATGTGGAGAATGATTATTTTAGCCAGACACAAGTTCATGGTGAGAATGTAATTAAACAAAGCTTCTCAAATAGCTTTTTAACTAAACAGAACAAAAATATATTTATATATATATCAGCGACAAAATAAAAATTTGAAAGGTCTTTAAACCTTTGGAAGTGCACACACTGGGGCCAGGACACTTCGGTTTCAAGAAACAAAGTCCTGTCTCAGTCAGTGTTAGTGGCTTTAACCAGTCCCTAGTGCATAAGGTGTGCTACACACAAAAATAATAATAAAAAAAAATAAAAAAATTAATAAATAGAGGATGGGGTAAGGGAAGGGGTTGTTCTATGTGGTCCTCCATTCATGATTCCTCCTGAAACATAGACCTAACAATTGCAGAAACTTCTATGTCTGTGACTCCACCAGTTTAGTGCCAGTAAGGCCTATGGCATTGAGTTAAATCTCTGTAACAAGACAAAGCCACACAGAATCAAACACTCTGCAGGATCCCGTTAAAATCTTTCTTGATGAGGAGTCTTCATCACAAGCCAAGAGGCTCATGAACTGAGATTTGGTTACCTAGTTCGAAATCCGTCTTTTTTTTTTTTTTTCCTTTAAATTTAATTTTAAAAGAAAACTTTTTAGTGCTACAATGATGCAACTTTTCAGTAGCTTCTGAGTTGCAATATAGTGAGTTCTTCAGAGCTTTTTAAGACTAATTGTCCGTTTGCAGGGAAGCCTTGTTCTGATGGGTTTCCTCAAACATGTATAGAATTGCCTGATACGCAACTGTTGAGGAAATCACAGTTTCTTAAAGTCATCGCCATTCTTCTGTGTACTTCTCAATCAGGTTGGGCGTAAGGCAAAACAGACAGTGTTCTCTCATATACTCGAGTATGTGACTGTGCGTGAATATTTCATATGGATGTTGTGTACAGAGTTTTACATGTTGGAATATTCTCTTTCTCCTGCAAGTCAAAGGCCATAGCCAAGAGTGTCCCATTGCAACGTGTGGCACTCCCTTAGCCTCATAGCCATCTTGGTTCTCAAGTGTCTTTAGATATGTCTTTTCATATGCAGAGCAAGGTGATCAGACCTGGAAAAGCACCTGAAAATAAACAGATTCAAAACAGGAAGTTAATATAGACATTAAACTGTGCAGTACATTGTGCTGTCCTTTATGAACATGAATTTTAAAAAAAAATCAATTAATACAAACAACCACTTAATAACACATTAAACTGAACATTGCAGCTTAGCTAAAAGGCATTACCCCAAATATTTCTCGGAACACACTGACCCGGTTCCACTGCACCGTTTGCCAGGAATATAAAAATTATTATATATAAAAGTTACAAATTATCTAATCACAGCTAAACCAAAGGCCACCTCCAGTTCTGTTACTTTCCCACCTTGTTTGTTTATTGTCCCCTTTGATACCCTCTGTATTGTGTCCACTCCTGTAGACTGTAAGCTTATCTGAGCAGGGTCCTCAACTACCTATTCCTGTATCATTTTGTAATTGTCCCTCTTATTGTTTAATTTCCCCTTTCCATAATATTGTAAAGCGCTGCGGAATAAGTTGGCACTATATAAATACTATAACTGTAACAATAAACAGCAATAAAACTTCTAAAAATTCCCTAAAGCCTATAAAATATACTTCACTCCGCTAGTATTTGTCCTCTGATAATCACCAAGTCTCTTATCAAGTGAAATTTAACTTCATACAAGCCAGATGACCAATTACAATTTTCCATCTGTTCTTTCAGTCCACGGATTAAAAGCACAAAAATACACCCTAAAAAGAATTCCTTGTAGCTTTCACTAAATCCTGTGAATATTTGATTATTTACCTTACAAAAAAAAAAAAGCGCTATAAGCACTTTGCTCTTACTGCTCTCTGAACCATCTGCTGAACATCCATTAGCCTCAATCAGAGTTTCCATAGATTACCTTTCAGATTCTCCTTGAAAGATGGAAGTTTTTCTGATTCTGATTTTAAGGTTGTGGGCTCCATGAACAAAACATGCATCTGAGGTCAATGCTTCGACCATATTGCATTACCACTATGATTAAAAGCTGCATACATTAAATACACAAATTACTTTACTATGCAAGCCCATTGCAGAATGGAAAAGTTATTTGTAGTGAATTGAAAGTGAATTTCAGATTTTAGGCCCAAATAGATTAACTATAACATTCAATATGTTCAGTTTTGTTATTTTGGGCTAAATAAAATGTAAAATTTATTTTGAATTCCTGACAAGTCACACTTTAGTTAATAACCACGTGAATACATTTTTAGGAATCCTGAAGCTTTTTGTTCCTCATCAAACAGTTTCTCATATATTTTATCTAGAAAATACTATAATAGGGAATTGAATTTTAAATGACAAATCAACATATTAACAGATGAAAGTAGATCCCACTAATGAAATTGGAAATCAAATGTAATTTTTTTTTTTTTTTTTTTTAGATAAAGGAAAAATACAATTTCAAAATAGAGACTTGAAATGAAGGACGGGGGAACCTTGATGGGCACCACAGAAAGTTAAGGAGGTGCGGAACGCAAATTGTGTAAGACATAATATTGCCGCTTGATTTAAAGGCCAGTAAAGAGGCACTATGTCCAAAGGAGGCTTGAAACACAAAGACCTTAAGTGTCTGGACTGCGAAAGAGGCCTAGAAGGCATGTCAATACCGGAAAGGATCATTTGAGGTTTATTGGAATCAGGTATACAAGTACAAGAGGTCAGGGTAAATATATTTACCGAGGAAGCCTTTAAACAGGTGAAATGCATTTCAACAAGAGAGACCCTGCTTTAATATAGATTTTATTTGTGCATGTCATTTTTTTCAGTTTGTTTATGCTTTTTGCTTGGAATACAAATAAAGCTCTTTTCTACTAGATCATTAAGAACTACACAGCCTAATCTAACATTTGGGGTGGCGTCATCTGGCAAAGAGATGCTCTAGCACACAAAAAGAGCCTATGAAAAGGCTTCAAAGCATGTCCCTAAAAGCAATAAGAAGCCAACCGTGGGAGGGAAAGAGTCCCCTATACAAGACTCCAAAGAGTTTAGTTAGAGCCAAATTAGTTTTTTGCGGGTTCATGTGAGTTGACATTTTGGAAAGTTCTGACACAGAGTGCATATATTATTTATTAGATCATCTGTACTATTGCATGCTTTATTTTTTGTCTTTAAGATTTTAACCGGTTAAGTATCATCTGAAGTGCCTTGTTATACATAATTTTTACTTTATTTTGTAAGTTTATCATATATTGTATACCAATGTATAGACACTGCTGGGCTTCAAGTGTCAGGAGATTCCCTGTTTTGTCAAACCACAAAACTCTTTGTACCATAATAACTACAATTAACTGTAGGGATTATGGTGCTTAAAGTGCCCCTCCCTTTATGCACTATGTGGGATAAATTATATAAATAAATAAATAAATAAATAAAAATAAAAATAAAATCAGACTAATCAAGATCAACATATAATGATTTCTCATACAAAGTAGTATGGCATTTGGAAAAATTCAGATTTAATATAATGGGATTATTTAGTCTTCATATTTA